GAGAGAGAGAGAGAGAGAGAGAGAGAGAAAGCAAGAAATCACCCCCTGGGGGGATGGCTACACTGCAATCCTTTCTCTTCCATTCTTCTCTTGGGATCTGGGGCACACACGCACATGTGCTGGCATGATTTTCTAGCCACCAGGTCTGGGACTTGAACCGTGGTGAGCCACGTGGGAATCCAGCCATGTAACCACTATGCCATTTGTTGACCCCAAGTCATTGATTTTTTTTTTTTTTAAGTAAATCATAAAAATACATTAGTATGACTTTCTACTTTACTCTGTGTTAAATGCTTCCAGTTAGGCCTTAGCCTATTAAAATTTTCCCTCCTTCTTTAGATTTAATTTTTTTAGTGAATTTAAGAATAACCTGGTAAAAAGTACTTCCTATAGTGTTAAATATGTAAAAGATAATTTTTATTGTGAAATAAAATTCTTGATTGATAAAAAAGGGAACAGATCATGTAATTACTCTTGGGTTGCTGGGGAAGTCATGCTGCAGTTCTTCATAGAGATGCATCATGACAACCTGACAACCTAATAGTAAGGCCAAGATTTTGAACATTATCCTAATAAGCAGCTGTTTTCCCCCAGCATTGTAACCAGTATCCTGACTTTTGTAGCAATCATTTCTTTAATTTCCTTTTTTTTCCTGCAACACTATTATTTTGTTTTGTATGTCTTTTTCTTTCTGTAAATTGATTTGAAATGTGATTCCTTTGTGTCTGACTTTGTTATTCTGAGATCCATCTCTGTTGTTGCTCTAGATATATTTTCCTCATTTTCTTTGCTGTGTAGGATTTAATCATTTGAAACTACCACAGCTTATTAATTTATACTTTTGTTGATGAGTATTTGATTTTTTGTTTAAGTTATGGATAATGCTGCTATGAACTCTTTGTAAGTGTCTTCCATTGTGCATGTGTATGAGACTCTGCTCCGTATTTACTTAGGAATGGAATTGCTGGGCTATAGGGTGCAGGTATATTCAATATCAGAGTCTCCTAAGTGGTTTTTAATGTAGGAACCATATCCATTAGTGGTTTGTAAGGACTCGTGTTGCTGCAAATCTTCACCAAGCAACCTTGTAAATTTTAGCCATTCTAACTGGTGGGTATATAGTATTGCATATGTTTTATGGTTTTTTTAAAGACAGAGTCTCTCTCTTTATAGTTCTGCTGTCTGAGACTCCTAAGTAGCTGGGATTATAAACATGCACCGTCATGCCTGGTTTTCTAGAGTTTGCTGGGAATTGAACCCAGGACTCCGATATTGCCTCAGCCTTGGAGCAGCTGTGTCTTACCAGTGCATACTTCTGGGGTGTGGGTTTCACTATACTTTCATTTGCATTTCCTGGATAGCTAAAGAGGTTTTGTACATTTTTGTGTATTTATTCACCTCTGTCTCTGAAGTGGCTTTAGAGTCTCTTATTAGGTTGTGCATCTTTTTCTTAATGGTTTGTCAGAATATATTTTTAGACTATCTGTTCCACTGAGCTGTCCGTTTATTCTTACACTAATGCCCTGCCACCTTGGTGATTACTGTTTGTTTTTTGTTTTTTACATTTAATCACTATACATCACTTTGCTTGTAAGGTGAATTTGCACCACATGAATACCCTTCACAGCAGTCCAGGTGAGGACACTAAACACATCATCATCAACACATAATAACCCACATCTATGATTACTGTTTTTTTTAGATACTTTATTCTTATATATACTTTTTACATTCATTACTGTTTCCAGAAGTTTGTGCTATGGTTTTGCCAGAGATTACATTAAATCTGTTTGTCCTCCTGGGGAAAAGATAATTTTAGTGGGTCAGGAGAGGGCAGTTCTTCAGGCAGCTGGTCCCATGTGGGTAGCCGTGCTGTTCAAGTCCTGGATCCGGTGACTTGGAAAACATGCTGTGCATGGATGCATGAGTACCTCAGATCTTGAAAGGAGAATGGTGGAGAAAGGATTGCCATGTGGTCATCCCCTCTGGGGTACATGTGCCCTATGGCAGAAATGTAAAAAAAGAAAGAAAGAAAGAAAAGGAAATTCAAGAGCTGAAAAATACTTAAATTAAAAACGCAGGGTCTCTCTGCATGGTGCTCGTTAGCCCCTAAGCCTGGAGCCATGGGAGGCCTGGAGAAGAATGATGGGGGCTCTGCCACCGAGTACACCGCCTGAAATAAAGCCCGGACGGTGCTGCCGCTGAGCCTGTGACCGCAGACGCCTGTGCATCCTCAAGGTCATTTACCCCCATGAGCCCAAACACAAAAACAAGGTTAACAGGGTTCCAAGCTGCCAGTACTCTCCACCTTCTTAAAGATATCAAGTTTCTCCTTCGTGAATCCATCGCCAGCAAGTTCTGGGAATACAAGGTTTTTGTCCGGAAGCTCCAGAAGGCAAATGGGAAAAGCAAGTGGAACACCCTGAAGCATCTGAAGGACAATAAGCCCAACCACAGACTTGACCACTCGTCAAGAAGCGGTACCCCGCCTTCTCCAGTGCCCTGCAGAACCTGGATGCCCTGTCCATGTGCTTCCTCTTCTCCACTTCCCAGGACTGCCAAGTGCCATGTGCACACCACTAGCTGTGCCACGGGCTCTCGGTGGAGTTCATTCACTGCATCATCACTGGGGTCCTGTGCAAGGTCTTCTTGTCCATCAAAGGCATTTACTGCCAGGTGGAGATGCTGGGCAGCCCATCGTGTGAGTCACGCCCTATGCCTTCTCCCATGACCCCCTGACAGATGTGGACTACAGGGTCATGGGCACCTATACCGAGTTCTACACCACCCTACTGGGCTTTGTCAACTTTCTCCTGTACCAGTCACTGAACCTCCACTACCCACCAAGCTTGAAGGTCAGACCCGAGAAGAGGCAAAAGCCAGTGAAGGGATCTACCCGCTGGACGCTGAGAGCTCTGTGGAGAAACTGTCAGCCCTCAGTGCCAGAGTGGTGCCTGCCACGGAGGAAGAGGCTGAGATGGATGAGTTTCCAGCCATGAGGAGATGGCGGTGCAGGAGGAGGACCACAGGAGGAAACTGGAGATGCTGGAAAAGTGGAAGAAGCTGTTTGAGCGCCTGAAGTTCTTCCTGAACTGTGAGGTGCCATGTAAGGCCCTGACCTTCATCATCAGGAGTTTTGGTGAGGACGTTTCTTGGTTGATGTGACAAGTCGCTGTGCATAGGGGCCACCTATGATGTCACAGACTCCTGCATCACCCACCAGATTTTCCACCAGCCCGGGCAGTGGACCTCCGTCATTGGCAGGTACTATGCGCAGCCCCCGTGGGAGTCTGACTCGGTGAATGCCAGCTCCTCCTGAGTACTTCCCTGGGGCACAGCTGTCCCCACCTTTCGCCCTTCGTGTCTGAGAAGGAGATTATGTCCCACACGAGAAACTGAAGCTGCTGACTCTGCAGTGAGGAGAGGACCCAGGAAATTTGAATGAGTCAGAAGAGGAGGAAGATGACAATGAAGGTGATGGAGATGAAGAGTGAGAAAATAAGGACAAGGAGGAAGATGAAGCTGGTTCAGAAAAGGAAGAAGAGGCCCAACTGATAGCCCTGGAAGAGCAGAGGATGGAGGGGAAGAGGCCCAGAGTGATGGCGGGCACCATGAAACTGGAGAAGAAGCATTGGCTGGCCCAGGAGGAGAGCGAGGCCAAGCACCTGGCCATGATGATGAGGAAGTGGGAGAAGTACCTGTACAAGAAGGTCACATTTGGCAAGAGGTGCGAAATCTGTGAGACCATCAAACTGGCAGAAAAGCACAAAGTCCATGGTGAGGCTGTGAGGGCTGAGAAGGCCAAGGAGGCAAGGCCAGTGTGAGTGCCGGTGACCCCTTCCTGGGCCGAGGCCAGCTTCTGACAGCTGGACGTGACAAAGGCAGGCCTGAGGACCTACGCTTGGGGACAGACCAGAGTCACTTCTGGTCTCAACCCTTCTTTCCCCTAGTCTGCCCTGACCCCTTCATTTGCTCTGGCTGGGCCTCCATTGGGTGAAGCTCCTTGCTGGTGGCTGGACAGAGGAGACTTCTGTGCCCAGCCTGACTCCGGGCTCTCACCTGCTGCCTCCATGTGCCATGGCTTTCCACAGCCCTCTTCCACATATGGATGGGCCCAGGATTCTCGGGGTGCTGTGTTGGGGTGAGGGTGGGGGAGCAGTTGTTATTAAATAGCTGGACTTTTGCAAAAAAAAACCCAGAAACAAAACCCAAAAAAACCTCAGTAAGTAGGCATAACAGTTATATAGAAGCAGCTAGAAAAATAATTAGATAATAATCTCACTGCTTTCATAGAAATTATCACTCAAACTGTGGCCTGCCACATGGGAGTCCAGTGCCTTAACCACCATGCCACCTGCTGGCCCATTGAATTTCCTTTTTAAAGGAAAATTTATTACCAAGTTCTTTGCTAACATACTAACACTTTGTCTTAATGTTGTCTCTTTGAACCGGATAAACTACAGGTTACTTGATATCTGGGGCCCCTGTGAGTCTGTTTTTATTTTCTCTTGTTTCTGCTGGCTTTTGTTCTAAGTTGTCTTGAATCCTGTGCGCCTGTTTGAATGTGTGTGTGTGTGTGTGTGTGTGTGTGTGTGTGTGTGTATGCATTCTCATGTGTGCACACATGCAGGCTGTCGCTTTGGCTGACAATGGATTATTTCTTTTTAGAAATATGGGAAATAAAACCTTCATCCAGAGGAGGTTGATATTTTCCTTCAAGGAGAATTTTTGCCTCTCCCCTCAGCGCTCGGCTTCAGCTCAGTTTTATTTTAGAAGCTGAGACTTGATGCTGTGCTGCAGATTGTGCCTCTAGGGGAAACACATCCCCAGTTCCGGAGTCATCATTCTGATTCTCTTTCCTCTTCCCACTCTTGACTCAGAGGTTGTTGTGTTGGGTGAAGATCTTTTCCAGTGTTCCTCTAACTCCTCATTGTGCCTTACGATTTTTGTTTCCCTCAGCCAGAGGATTGAGCTTAGTGTGCTTTAGTGAAAGCTGCTAGATTGCATCTTTACGCCAACAAATATTTTGTCATCATTTCTTCATTGCCTTAAAAACTAAGAGAAATGGATCCCTCCAGGAAGTGATTTCCTGCTTTCTGTCTCTGTCTCTCTCTGTCCTTCTGGCAAGCGCATGGGCCCTATAGCAAAAACCTCTCAACAAACAAACAAACAAAAACAAAAACAAAAAACCTAAGAGAAATGGGTTTTGGATCTTTTATAAATGTCCTACATGAGCAGGCAGTTCTGCATTGAATTTTCTGACTTTCTTCATTGACAGCGAGCATAAGGGTGCCAGAATCTACCGGACTCTATTTGTTAGATCACTTTGTACTTTCAATATACTTAAGTAAGAAATTATTAAAGAAAGTAGTAATCATTTTTACTTGAACAGTCTTTTATTCATTCTTTCCATGTAGTATGTTGCTCACATAATGACCCTGAAATTAGTGAGCACCTCTGTTACAATCAGAGAAAGCAGAAACGTTCCAGAAATACTGAAAATTCAGATAATTGACCTGGGCACCCGAGTATCTCAGCGACCAGGAGCACAAGCTCTTAAGTAAGTTTTAAAAAACTTATTATTTCAATTTTTACTTCTAGTTGTGGTTTTAAGCTAAATATATATAGTGTGGTTAATTATTAAAAAATAACTAGTAGTAGCTCTTCTTTAATTCCATTTTCTTGTGTGTATTGAGGTAGTCTTTCTATATTTATATAGCTTTTTCTTTTTCTGAGCTGTATGGTGAACACACCATTTGTTTCATTTCCTTCCTTTTCTTTACAAATATTTATTAGATACTATTTAATTCATAGCCTTGATACTGTGAGAGCATAGATATAGTAAGTTTCTGTTTTCAGAAAGTTTATGCTGTAGTTGATGAGAGAGGTGATAGAAAAAGTTAATAATTGTGATCTATGTAACACATTAGACAGCAGCACGGTGAGAACTCGCTGCCAGACTGAGTTCATAGCACACGAGCCAGTGTGAAGAGCAAACTGAGCTGGGGCAAGGCTGGGTGAGCCGAACGTCAAGGACTGGGAGGGCCAGGGACGGAGGAGCGTGTTAAGGGTGGCACAGAAACGGGAGCTGAGTTCAACCCTGGCGCATGAGCTTTTGTTCATACGACGTGGTGAGACCTGCAGTTGTCCAGCGTGGGCCTTTCATTTGGAGGAACGGGATAACAGCAGCAGCAGCAGCAGCAGCAGCAGAAACAGATTGCATGGGCGTCGGAATGCTAGGCAACGGCACTAAACTTCACTGCTGGGTGAAGGGCACTGGCTCTTAAAGGAGTTATAAGGAAGAAAACCTGTTTTTAATCCATTATATCATGAAGGATCTTGTTTACGTGATTCCGTTTTTCTTCATTGGATTATAGGGTGGAAGCAAAATTAGAGCATTGGTATGTAACAGGTCTGAGACAACAAAATATCGTACCATCACTTGTGGCTTCTATTGGTGATACTGCGTCATCCTTGCTTAAAATTGAGTTTGAAACCAATCCAGAGAATAGTCCTGCTGACCAGACCCTGATTATTCAGTCTCAGCCCGTGGAGGTCATCTATGATGCTGTGAGTGCAAGGAGAAAGTGACTGTTAAAACCGCTCTGTGCTTTCGTATATAGTTTTCTTAATTCTCCTCTTTTGTATTTATTTCTTTAACAAGTTATGTTTCTTCTTTTCTTTTCTTTCTTTTTTTAATTTCATTTCTTTCATGCAAGAGTGAGAGAGAGACAGGCTCCCTTGGCAGGGTCACATCACGTCACAGTGCCCTCCTCCAGCCTTCCAGCCCGCCAGGATCACAGGGGCATGAGGGCTCAGAGTGTTTTAGGTTGACCGGGATCCAAATCCTGATCCGCCCGATGGTGCCAGCACTGCAGGGCAGCGTGCCACCACCCGTGCCAGCTCCAGTGCCACCATTACTGACAGTCTTTTTGTTTGTTTCAAAAGCAGTACATATTTAGCTGTTAATTTTGATTCTTCTTATGTAATAGATTGTTTTCTACTATAAGATTTATCTATGCTTATGTTTAATTTGAAAAAAAAATCTCAAATATACCTAAAGGAATCTGTGTTTATAGTACCAGCTACTCCCAAATACTTACACACTGACTTCCTACTCAAGTTCCTTTTTGCTTATTCCTCCTTTGACATCAGTGTTTAGAACCAATTTAAAGGACTTTAGCAATGATGAAAATAATTTTTATAAATTTATTTATTAAGCTTTACAGGGCATATGCACCCACAGAAAGAGGAAGTGAGAAAGTAAGCTGGCAGGTCCAGGACTCAAACTGCAGTTGGCCATGTGGGAGTCCCTTGCCTTGACTACCACACCACCTGCTGGCCCTGGAAAGAATTTTGAATGTTGTTCACATGAGAAAAGAAGTATCAGCATTTAGATTCTATCGAAAATGTTGACTGGAGTTCTGTAATGGCGGGGGGCCCTTTTATTCAGACTGTCTTGACTCTCATCTCAAGTTAGCCACTGAGGCGGGCGTGGCTCGCTCCTCAGTGCGTCACCCGTGTGTGTGTGTGACCCTCTCTGCTGTTTTGACCCTAACTGCTCTTTACTTTTACACCTTAGAGCTGGATTAATAGTGTGAGAGGTAGTGTATAAAGACTCGGGAACTCATTATATTTTCTGATTTTAAAAAAATTTAATGACGCCAGAATGCATATAACAAAATTTACCATCTTAACCATTTTTAAATGTACAGTTCTGTAATGTTCCACTGTTGTATAACCAATCTCCAGAACTCTTTTCATCTTGCAAAAACCTCTGCTTTTTTTTTTAAGTTCAAATTTTGCATGCAGGCAAAGGCAGAACAGGGTTCCTCCCCCTTTCTTCTCTAAACTTCACAAGAGAATTAAATTACAGTGTGAAGGAGAGTCTCACCTTCTGACTGTTGGGAGGCGAGAACTGGAATCAGTGCCATCGCCACATCCATGGGACACTGTAGGGCATCGGTGAGGCCATCGTCATGGTGCCCACCCATTTCGCAGGTGCCAGTCCACAAAGCCTGCTTGGGCTATTTCTTTCTCCAGATTCTCTTTCACTTCTGAGGGAGGTACAGGAGGACAGAATATCTTTAGAGTTCCGTAGTTCAGAGCCATAGCTATTCAGAGTTGAGATGAACCATTAACATTTATAATATAGAAAGCCTTACGTATAACTCGATTATATTTTTAATTCTTTTACAGAAAACTATCAATGCCGTGGTTGAATTTTTTCAGTCAGATAAAGGGTTGGATCTTGAACAAATAACATCAGCTACATTGATGAAGCTAGAAGAGATTAAAGAGAAAACAGCTACAGGTAAAGAATTTGGGACCACATAAGCATCAAATACACTTTAAAACTTCTGTCTGTTCTAATGTAAACCTTGTTTTTAAAATAGTATAGGTTTTTTTCCCCTCTATTGTAAAGTCAGGCTGTGTTTAGACAGTGGTATGACCTGCTAGATGGGTAAGAACGAGAATATGGGCACAGATGATTCTCCTGCTGTTAATTCAAGAACCTACACCTCATGACCAGCAGGTGGCATAGTGGTGAAAGTGCTGGACTCTCACATAGTCGACTGGGGTTTGAGTCCCAGACCTGGCGACTTGAGATGGCGGGCGCGTGTGTGCTCGTACCCAAGATCCTGAGAGGAGAATGGAGGAGAAGGGATTGAGGCATGGCCATCCCCCCTGGAGGGTGATTTCTCGCTCTGTCTTTCTCTGTCTCTCCAGCAAGCCCGTGCCCTATAGCAAAAATCTCTTTCAAAAGAAAAGAACCTGTGCCTCAGGTGGAAAAGTTCCTTCCACCTCTGTTCTTAAGAAACTGTTTACCATACTGTGTATGAATCTAGTTTTTTTTTTTTTTTAAGAGAGATTTTTACTATAGGGGGCATGCACTTACCTAAGGACAGAGAGGGTGAAGGTGAGAAAGCACTCTCTGGAAGGATGTCCACTCTGCAATCCCCTCTCCATTCTCCTTGCATTTTGAGCACACACGCACATGCACGCAGTATGAGTTTCAGGCCATCAGTCTGGACTCGAACTGTAGTCAGCCATGTGGGAGTCTGGTGCCTTAACCACTATGCCACCTGTTGTCCCCTGCTCCCTTTTATTTATTTATTTATTTTTTTGAAGATGATTTATTTCTTTATAGAGGGA